TATATTGATTTAGTGAATATAGAAAACTTTATTTATATATAATATATTTTAATGTATATACAAGAAAAAAGGTTAATCACCTTCTCCAAGTGGCAGGTCTAGAGTTCAAATCCCACGGACGACGAATTTTGAAAAATAGCCTGTGTTACAGTTTATAGTTGTCGATTATTGGTTGGATTTAGAAATCTGTAATCTCGGTCATACCATTTAGTTATGGGAGCTTTGGCGCAACAAATCCGAGGAACCGGAATAACCGAAAACCCATTTGGCAAGTCCCGAGTTTGGAGGTAGTAGTGATCTACGATGGTACTACAGGAGGGCTGAATTCAAACTGGGGCCCGAGATCGGAGAACTGAGCGACCAGGTCCTAATGGCGGAGGACACACCAGCCGAACCACTGGGTTGTCGCACTGGGGAAAAGGACATATGCTCTGAAAGTATGGACCAAGGGGAGGGCATCCTTCAGGCACCTAAAGCCTGGCAGACCAACCCTTCCGGGTTGCCGGCTGGAAGTAAGAGAGAGACCAGTAAAGAATCCGAGTAAGAAGATGGTCTAAATGTGGGGTACTGGGGTTGCTAGGAACCAAAACAAGAGCAAGAAGTACGTAATAGGCGTCTAGTTAGAAAGGTTGGTACTTGAGAAACGTCCGTAGAATAGCAGCACCCCAAAAGGTGGCGTGAGATACGAATACGGAACGGCAGGTCAATATGTACTAATTAGAAAGAAGTTATAGGAACAAGCACGTGAATACATATGTGGGACATGTACCGCTGTGGCATTTACTAATTTCTCACCACAGTTGTGATTGGCTGGGATTATTTGTACAAATTTACATATCACCTTCTAAACAAAATGTAACGCCTCAGTTAGGGTTGAGGTTAGAGTTAGTAGGTAATATTATACTAAAATTTTGCAAGAAATTTTATTTGTTAGTACATAAAAGGTGATTTCTTAGACGAAGTTTTGCGATAAGTGTGACTTTTTAAAAAAAAGTGATTGTTGTTTTGATCGTTATGTTACATCTGATCTTGCATCCTGATTGGCCCAATATCACAACTGTGGGGAGAAATTAGTAAATGCCCGCTGTGTTAGGTTTACCTCGAAACCTATTGGGTTAGAGAGCTAATGGAGGTAGTTAGAACCAGATAGTTTAAATGGGTACCCCCTAGTTGGGGTGCAGGTACGGCAGATAGTGTAGAATCTTTGGGCGGACTACTTAAATAGGTACTCAAAAAGTGCACGTGTGGCTTGATATACCATCGTTGTAATTATATATAAAACTTTGTCTATACTCTAATAAAAAGTTCTCCAGACCAAAAAGGTCACCTTAATATCAAAAAAAAAAAAAAAATTTCAAATTAAAAGATAAAAGATTACTTAATAAAATCCACATATTTGATATATATGATATAACATGCAAACATATAACCCATTTACACTTCCGAATACCATCGCTAAAATCTTCTATTAGAGTCCACTCCCCTTCGAGCCTGCTTTGCAATAAATCTATCTGGAAATAATCAGACCTATTAGATATTTTTTTAATAAAGTTATATATGCTAACCAACTTACTAACCACACTTATTGCAGAGTTATGACCCTTCAGGTCTACCCTTAAGCATAGTTTTTTATCTATGATTGCTAGCAAAGATCGAGCGATCCCCCATACTAAATAATTTGTAAATGAACCCGATCGCCAAATCTGAAATTAGTTTTCATAGTATCTAAATTTGGTTTGTTAATAACGAGAAGTATATTATATAACGAGATAAGTTAATAATAAATTGCAAATACTTATCTAACTAAAATTTGGGTAATTGTAATGATTTGGATATTATATCCGTTTGCTTTTATCTAGCAAATAATCTTGGACAATGTGAAAATAGTATATAGTCAGATAAGAGTAAAATGATAAGAAAATTTTTTTCTTCGTAAACCAGCTCAGCATATTCTATACTATGAGTCTTGAACCACTTAGTGAAAGAGAACTTGCTAAAAAATACCCCAAACGATCAGAGTTATTAAAATTCTTAGGGATAAATATCCTAAAAAGTTATCCAAATTCTCTTGCAAACGATATTACAATACCAGAGCTAGAGAATTGTCATGAATATAACGAAGAAATTTTTTTAAATCCGCCCAAAGCATTTACTATGTTAGTATGTGGTCATACTCTCCATCATGACTGTCTTGAAAAAAGTAACAGAGATAAGCAAAAAACTTACCCCATTTGTTTCGTAGATAATGAAGGACCGGCGTTAGCTGAAGTTCAGGATGTAGATATGACAGAGGTAGTGGAAGGTGAAAGTGAAGAAACCTCTAATCTAACAGGAGAGGTAAGTAAATTATCTGTAGATGACAGTAGAGCTATCCCCCAAAGTAAAACGAAATCCATAGAATCTGAAAAAGTGCAAGGTTTAATAAAAGAACTATCTATGCCTTGTGAACCAATTAATGATAATGATAGAGAAAATAAAACCAGGGAATCGAAACCAAAAACTTTATACTCCAGTTATATTATAATGCAAGCTGGGCAGAAAAACATGTAACCCGAGCCTACCAAGAAGAAATTAGGTGTTGGTACCTGTTTACTGAAAAATTCGAAGAAAGGGTTAAAGAAATTAAAAATAATAATAGTAGATTTAATGATCAACAAGCTAGAGGGTTAGTTTATGGTGAAATCGCAACGAATATTCCAAGATTCACAAGAGAAAGCCTACGTAAAAAAACAGCAAAAACTAGAAATATTTATAAGTTGTTTGGTCAAAGTTATGACCCTGAAACCAAAACAGTAGTTAAGGGACTAGGGATTGAAAAAATAGTGCAGATTATATTTCAAAACTTAATGCTATACAAATTTATAGTATTATAAAGCATTTTAGCTAGCACAGATCGCGTCCCCCAAGTTGACGCCAACGTGATATAAATATTTTTTATTAGTAAATCATATATAAGTATAATTATATAATTAAATTTATACATATTAAAGTTTATACATACCAATAAATGCTTGTTAAATATAGGCTTTCAATTGGATATCGACCTAAGGTTTATACATAAGACAGGACTAGTGGTGTGAGCGCAATGCCGTAATTGGTCGTGATTGTTTTTACAAAAACTAAATTATATCGTGATCCAATAATC